CGTATCCTGATATCGTTTTATAGCACTAGGTAAATCTACTGGTGATGCGATAGCGTCCTCAATATTAGCCACGAACTGTTTTTGAGAATCATAAGCCGTTCCCTTACCTATAATATTAGAATGAGTCTGTGATTGAGACCCTAGACCAGCCCACACGTACGTTCGAATCGAATCGTTCAATCCGATAACACCAGCACGAGTAAAACCCTTCGACGTGTCCAGCATAAATATTTTCCAGTCATCCGGACCCTGCTCGAACCTCCATACTCGGTAATCCTTGCTGCCGTCGAAAGACATGAGATCATCTCTCCACTCGTTACTCGTGACGTAAGCATTCGCATGTTTTACCACCCCATTCTTTTAGCATTTTGCTGTCTTCCACGAGGGGCATATTGTGAACGATAGGGATACCCAACCCATGGTTTGGGCCCGTCAACCGCCAATCCGTCTTTGGGTTTAGTTCGAATTCATTACAAATCCGTTCATACGTACGTCGATCGTACGGATTGTTTACTGCATCCCATGCCTTGTCCTGTGGGACTGGGGCGCTGATTTCTTTGAGGATACGCCTTACCTGGTAATACACGTGAAAAGTGAAAACAGATTTACTAAGCTCATTATGCCTAGTGTCGGTTAATGTCAAACCACATCCAGTTGTCGCACAGCACACGGCAAAATTGAATTGATTCTGCCAGAACTGCATAGGGTTGTGAAACCAATCGTGAACCGTTTTAACATTAGTGACCGAAAACCTATAATTTTTAAACACGTCTATAAACTGGGTTTTGAAGTACGAACCAGCCGTGTCAACCACTATTTTTATGTGTGTGAAGTCATAAGCCTTTATGTTGTCGTTTTTTGGGTAACGTACTTCGGGTTTATACATATTATTATATAATATATAAATATATATAAACATGTACATTACGCTTCCGGGTGTAACGAGCGGTGAGGCCGTTCAACTTATGCACGCTATTGATAACACGTCTGGTCAACTCGAAATAGCACTATGTGATATAACCTACTATTGTATCTACTCCCGGCGTGGATTATGCTTCCCGGCACCGTGTCTTTAGCTTTGGCGGTACTCCCCTAATTATCTCTCCCGGGAAATCCGAAATATACATTTTAGCCTTCCCGGGACATCTGAAAAATAAATTTTAGCCTTCCCGGTACGACACCGTATTTACAAAACCTAACATCTCTATACACACATATACACACACAATGAACCAGCCGTTACACTTGAGTGCACATCCACCCGCTCTGACTGGGTTCGGTATCCCGGCTGCTTCGTTTCTAGGGAAGTAAACCCAAGTACAAAATATTGCACTTTTGATTTGCGATTGTACGCTTTTAATTTTGTTTATATGTTTTTTCATAATCAGCATTGTATACTCTGCAAAAAAAGAAACGCACAGGTGAAAACTCAGGAATGTAAACACTTTATTTTGTTTCCAAATAAAACTTTAACTAATGATCGCACGAACGTAAAATTTCACATGGATGTTGTCAAGAGTCAGCTTTACAACATGCAGCTATCATTTGTCTCTGAAACCATTGCACCGGGCGTACAGATGGCGTGGAGGTCAGTACCTGTTGTGATCACCTCGAGCTTGCAACACAGCTTGGCACCTCCTGTCCATGGACATGATCAGTCTTTGAATCCGTGCTTGGGGATCCTCCTCCATTCCTCCTGCAAGGCTTGAGACAGTTGTTGCAACGTTTGGGGTTGAGGCTGACGACGTCGAACGCGTTTCCCAAGCTGGTCCCACAAATGCTCTATTGGGTTCAAATCGGGGATTTTGAAGGCCAGGGAAGAACTGTGATGTTCTGATTCGTCAGGTAGTCCATCGTGATGCGAGCCACGTGCGGTCTGGCGTTGTCCTGTTGGAAAACGTGACGTTGAGGGTTGATGACAGGTAAAGATGACGTTGCAGAATGTCATCCCTGTAACGAATTGCAGTCAGGTTACCACGGACGTGCAACCAAGTCACTTCTCCCGTTGTAAGAAATGGCCCCCATACCATCACACTTCCCCTCCAAATCTGTCCGCTTCAACTACACAATAACGGGCGTAACGTTCGTTTCTCCGTCTATAGACCCTCGTCCTACCATCGTGTCTTTGAAGTTGGAAACGAGATTCGTCGCTGAACCAAATTCGCTGCCAATGTCTCCAATTCCATCTCTGGACGTTCCTGCACCATCGAACACGTGCCAGGCGATGATGAGGTCGTAGTGTGCATCCTACGTGAGGTCGTCGAGGGCGTATCCCGTGCTGTCTGAGGCGATTTCTGATGGTCTGGGCGGAGACGCGGCGAAGACCTGGGACGTTCTCTGCTGTTTGTGTTGCTGGGACGGCCTGGTTACGTAAATGGAACACCCGGATGTAGCGGTCCTGTGCAGCATTGGTTACCCGTGGTCTACCACTCCGAGGTCGGTCGCGGGTCGAGCCCAGTTGATTGTAGCGCCTCCATAAACGGGAAATTGTTGTGTGATGCACGTTGAAGTGTCTTGCAACTGATGACTGAGATTCGCCAGCCTCCAGACGTCCGATGGCGATGTTCCGGTCAGCTTCGCTAAGTCGTGGCATGTTGAATTCGTCAGTAAACTGGCGTTGAAAGTGAATTGAACACGTTAAACTGCCTTCCTCATATACCCTACACACTGGTGCATAGGTGAAGCAACTTTCACGTGCATATCGTTCGAAGTGTCATTTACACGTGAAAATTTCATGATATTTTCAAAACCATCATCAAACAACAATATTTCATGAAATGGTGTGTTTGAGCGATACTTAATGGATATGAACAAGTATACATTATGTTTGGTTAAAGTAACCGGGTTTTATATTATATGTCATAAATAAGTGATAACTGTGTTTTAATTATGTTTGATTTTTTGGTTGCATGTTGCATGGTTGCAATCCACTCTTTTGATGATCTCCTCGGTGCATTATCGCGATAATGACATCGCGAGATATCGAACCCAAGAAGGAGGAGTGGTTCTATGCGGGTGAACAATTGAAGTGTACAACATACTACAAGTATCTTGGTCTACTATTCTCATCTAGGCTAAAATGGTCAGCTGCATGTAGCAATCTCGCATCACAGGCATCGAAAGCATTAAGGCCAGTATACCAGCTATTTAAACGTAACCAAGCAATGACGTTCTGTACAGCAATGACTATCTTCGACTGCAAGATTTTACCAATCCGTCTTTATGGCTCCGAGATATGGGGAACATTATACAATGAAACAATTGAAAAGGTCCATACCTCTTTCCTTAAACGATTTATATCTGTTGGGAAATTTGCATCAAACAAAGCAATATTGGGTGAAACAGGTCGCTGCAGCGTGTTTGTGTATACCAGAATGAGAGTTATCAAATACTGGTTGAAACTACTACGAATGAACTCCTCTAGATATCCAAGGCAGAGCTATCTTCTTCTCAAATCTTTAGACGATAATGGAAGACATAACTGGGTGTCAGAGGTTAGATCTCTGCTCTTTTCAACAGGTTTCGCATGGACTTGGTTATCACAACAAGTTGGTGAGGAGAAGTTATTTATCAGCACTTCCAGACAAAGGTTACAGGATATCTTTATCCAGGATTGGCATTTGTCTATTTCTACCTCAAGTTATCTGTCATTATACTCTGGATATAAAACTGATTTTAACACAGAAACATATATTACTTGTCTCCAAGACAAGTCTTTGGTACGTGCATTCTGTAAATTCAGAATAGCATTGAACAATCTGAAAGTAAATGCATACAGGAAGGAGAAACAACAGTACGACTATACCATCTGCTGTGAACATTGCATGGATCTCAACATCGAAGATGAAGTTCACATACTATTTGCCTGTCCAAAATATTCTGCACTTCGAATGAAATATTTACTTTGGTTAACCTCTGTTGTGCCAAACAAATGTAACTTCATCAAACTTATTTCTTCACAAAATCCACAAACAATCAAATTACTATCATTATATTTGAAGCATGTATTTAATCCACGCCGCTCTTAATTATAAGTTTTGTTTATTATATCACATCCACGTGACAAAATATAATATTCTGCTGTAATTGTACCTTAGGTCATAAGGCCTGTAGTATTGAATAAACTAGTCTGAGTCTGAGTCTGAACGAGCCTACAGCTCAGCAGGAACAGAAATCGTGACAATTGTTGTGAAAAATGAAAGCTATATGTTCTCACAATCTGCTGTCATTTAATTTTGTCTCCTGCTTTGCCTAGCCTCCGAGTGGGCCCAGGACAAATGCCACCCGGACAAATGCCACCTAGGACAAATGCCACCCAAATAAAAATAAAAACCACCAACACAATAACATTTTTAAAAAGTCAACATTACTATGAAATCAAAATTTTACATGAAAATCAACTTTTTTATCAAAGTGAATATATATTTTTTAAGAAACCAAATTATTCATCAAAGTCTACATAATTTTACAACAAAATCAACATTAAAATCAATATGGGTGGTAATTGTCCTCTCTGTAATGGTAAAATAACTGGGCGGCATTTTTCCGGGTGGCTTTTGTCCTGCTCCCCTTCCGAGTTACATCTTGTTTTCATAGACGATTCTGTCGTAATTGCCTGGTGTCGCTGGGCCGGTTTATTCTCATGAAGTCACCAGCTTGGAGAAACGCTAATCCCTACTTGGTGACTTCGTGCGAATTTCGCTAAATAGCCAATTATTGCAATTACGGGTCATAGTCAGACTAAATTTACTAATCCGGATTAGGACCGACAGACAATTGGAACTAGGGGAAATGGCAAAACTGTCTTATTTGCACATGTACATCGATGTTACATACATCATCAACAGCACTAATTTACAAACTAAGCAGGTGTGCTGCTGCATTGGCATACTCCAAAACGGAGTCTCGTCTTCAGCTGGTCCAGTCTGGGAGGCCTCCTTTGGCCAGCATCGTACTGCAGGTACCTGGTCTCCGTTGTTTTCTGCTCCATCTTTAAGAACTGGATCAGTTCATAAATGTTGGGGTGGGCCTTGCACACCAACTTCTTCACCCTGTTGTGCCATCCTGAAACAGCATGGATGGTGTACAGCTGATAAAATATGTGAGGTGTCACATAAAACACGTACCATCTGCAAAGAATGTGTCTGCTTGACACAACTTCTCCAAGTTGGATGTGGTGGCAAATCCCAGGATCTTGTCCTCGTCCCCATCTTCAAATGCCAGGAACTGTTCCCCGCCTTCTGTTGTTTGGTACTGTTCAGGGATTACTAGGTCACGACGATGGGATGGTAGAGGAGGAAATGACTTCTTCCTTGCTCAATACAGGGTGTCCTTCTTCATATGAAACGTAGGTAAGTTGCCAACCAGGGTGGCGTGTTCCGGTGTCCAGTCATCGCCCCGCATACTGTCTACTTCTTCCTGGAACAGCTGCGGCAGAGGTCTGATCGTGGCCTTGGCTTTTTCTTTTAGTGTCTCCATGGTTTCTCTCACCTTGATGTCGGCCTCCACTGGTGGGTGGTTGTGGTTCTGGCAGGGTCTGGTGAGGATATCACTGATGGTGGTGACTGTTATATGGCAATCCTTGGTCGTACACTTCCATACTAAGGTTTCATCACGTTTCCTTTTGTTGACTCTGTACATGAAACCACCCGAACAAAGATATCTGCCGCCTCTCGAAGTTGGGATGAACTTGACCTGTAGCTGTGCATTTGCCATGGTAGGACTTAGTGAAGAAAGTGGTCCGGGACCTCTATTTATATTTGTCATAAAATTGTTGAACAGAGTTCACTAATAAATGTCAATGAATTTACAGTACTTTTCTTATATCACCACGATTTGTATTTCCTCAACTTCCATTAGGACCAGAATCATTATCATGGTCATTCTTAATACAATTACACAGTGTTAATAGCATGAAAAGTAGCATCACCATACTAGGGGCCATACTAGGGGCTGGAATTTACCTCATTCACATAGTTACTGTCGACTGCTGCAATCCAATAGGAACGTAGACTTGGCATCTCACGACCAGTGGGATTCTGAAAACATCAAATGATTTTTCACTACCCCCCAAAAAAACCGTGTACACTGCTATCCGCGTGATAATCGTTTCGGAGGAAATCATTCCATGATACATGAAGCTTTTGTTGCAGTTTGGGTTGACCACACATACAGTTACATATATATTTTTAGATTTCTACGACAGTTTGCCAAAACTGAAAACAAATTTATTCAGAAGTTTACTGTTTACTTTGTGAAATGCTGGCCTTCCCTGTTGATAATGGACTGGCAACGTTGATTCAAAGATAATTTGGCCAAGAAGTTTAGTTAATACGGAGCACCAGACATTACTTCACTAACAGAATCTTACCTACGCGGGCTTAGATGTAAACGAAAATTAAATGTGATAGATGTGTGAAATTAGTCAAATTAACTGCCCCGTATAAATGCACTAAATGTCTGCTGACAGGCTTGAATCATTGGTTAGACGAGGAATATAATAGTTGACTATCATGACGAATTACTGGTCAGAATGCGCACTGTCCCATCACCACACTGTCATGATAATTGGCTGTAGATAAGACACGAACATAGTGAATCTAACCAATTAACTTCACTAGGTTTATGTTGGATATTCATTCCCCACTGATTAACATTCAATCATGTGAGCTTTGTCTAGTGAGGACATGACCTTATGATTTGTTGGGTCTCTGTTACTCCGTGCTGGTTATTGTCTCAAAGTCATAACGCAACTAGATTCATAATATACTTTGACATCATACTAGAATTCGCTGAACACTATGGGCATAAATTATGTTCAGAAAACAGATAATGATGTGTGTATTACGCACACAAATTTGTCAGATAAACCAGATATTATATGTCCACTGATAACAGAAATTCGAAAAGATTGTCTGAACCTTGGGGTGTAATTTATTGTGGCATTGTCTTTAATTAAAGACAACAAAAACAATCCATGAAACAACAAGAATTAGTACAAACAGTCTCGACCGGTACGCGTGAAAGGACCAAGTAAATACCTCAGATGGATCCCAATTGTATAACCAACGCTCCCCCGATAGTTGAAATATTTACGCCGACGTCGACATTTGATTTGAGAGGCTCAGCAGGTGTTCCTTTTCCCGTGTGTATACAGTTGTGGGGGAAATAACCTTATTGACATTGACATGCACAGAACCTACAGGATTCAATGCGTATGCATGCCTCCCGAAACACACCAGTGAACACAAATTGTATATGGATACACACACACACACAGAGAAAGCACGATGAAACGATTGCTTGATTCATTTTTTTACAGTCAACGGTGACAAAGGTAGCTTGAACGAACACAAGATAAACATGATACAGACAGCATTAATGATGCGAAGAGTTTTGTGAGAAGCTGCTTGTATATCTGCAAGTATATTCGGCGTCATTAATGAAGGGTCAAGCTATTGGTAACACTATTTCTTAAAAGTTCAAGTGTAAAATCTTTGTTTTTGTTTGAAATATATACAACTAAATATTTTACGAACTGTATGGAAAGACACACCAGGCGGCTGAAATGTCATTATTACGGCCTTTCACGTCCGATACATTCTGTTACTAATGGCACATGTTTTATTCAAATTGTCAATTTGGAAATCCACCTGCCACATTTCATGTCAATGAGTTAACGTGCAAGTCGCTGTATCCATGGAAAGTGGAGGACAATACACATACATTGAAGCTTTTTCACTGTCGTTCACTGTTCAGGAACCTGTTTGAAATCGCTACTCAAAATGAGACGTTTTTGACACTTGCTGAAAGGGGACAGGCTATAGACCTTTTGGGATCTGGCCAAGCTCAGCGGCAGGTTGCTGTCCGCTTTAATGTAAGTCAGAGTGCTATTGCTAGACTGTGGCAGAGATTTCAAGCCAATGGGTCCGTGGAATATGCACGCCGACCAGGTCGCCCCAGAGTCACAACAGTCCGAGTTGATAGGCACATGATTGACACTGCGTTACGTAACAGATTCCTTAACGCAGCAGATCTTCAGACAGAACACTTCAATGTTAATAATGTTAGGATATCCAGGAGCACTGTTCGTCGACGTTTAAGGGCAGCCGCATTCCGCTGTTGGCGGCATGCAGGTTGCTCACCACTAACACCGCGTCACAGGTAGGCGCTTTTAAGATGGAGTAGACACCATGGCCGCTGTAATCAACGTCAATGGTCTCGTGTGCTCTTCACAGATGAAAGCAATTTGTCCTTCCATGATGGTTGGCAGAAGATTTATCGTCGCAGTGGAGAGCGAATCACAGTTGCAACTGAGGCCACGCATGACCGATTTGGCGGGGAATCGGTCATGGTTTGGGCAGGGATAACTCCTACTGGACGTACTCCACTGTACGTGGTCGACGGTAATCTTACCGGACAGCGTTATCGGTACGTGATTCTGGCTCCTATAGCAGTAACAGTCGACCCTCTTTACTGCAAGACGCCAATGCCAACGCTAGGCCTCATAGGGCCAGGATTGTCACGGAATTCCTTAGATCGGGAGGGAATGCGATTCCGCAAGCTTTCTTTATTAACTTGATAAGGACCATGAGAACAAGGTGCACCTGTCTTCGACGCGCGAGGAGGATACACAAGATATACAATGACCGAGTGCTTCTTGTTTGTCATTTTCTTTTGGGGGGTTGGTCTATGCAACTGATGTTTGCTAGTGCTGTTTGAACTCTTTGTCTGTAAGTCACGATGTGTCACGTCAACTCATTAAACATCATGATGACACTCTTAGTTCTATTATTTCTGAGAAACTTTTCTTTACATGTGCTGTATATATTTTGTCCCTTTTTTAATGTTCGTCAATGCTACCAATGTGTTTGCTACTTTTATCTGGTGTGTGTATCCAAACTGCCATCACAGCAACCGAAGTAGTAGAGGAGGATTTGGCAATATTATCTCCACAATACCAAGACGAAGGCAAATACAAAGTAGTCCAACATACAGAAGACAAAAAGTAGTCCAACACACAGAAAAATAGTCCAACATACCGAAGACAAAAAGTGGTCCAACACAAGAAGTAGCCCAACACACCGAACACAAAATGTAGTCCAACACAAAACTTTGCGACCGCTATTAAAAACATGATGCGCATGTGCTGGTCAACGCGTATGTTCTTCCTGGAAGTGTCGCGCCAGTACGCCAAACGTCAAGATGCCGTCAAAACAGCAATGCTGTTATATTTGTAGTAATCACTGTAAGAAATCGGCGAATGGACGGAAAACTAAAGTAATGTGTGATGTGCAAAAGCAAGTGAAATAATCAACGCAAGGTAACCAGACCTCTTGCTCCCTGGTCTGTGTCTTGGATGTACGTAGTTCATACCTTTGATATAAAGTGGGTGACAATGCACACGGAAGGTCAAAGCATTTAGCTTAAGCAGCATGCTGAGCAATGACTGCCTCTCTCTGTCTTACTCCACGACGGCGTAAGACAGCTACATCCACATTCTCTCCGCATTGTGGAGGTTCATTGTCATTGTCTTGTCCATGGTCATTGTCATCGTCATTGTCATCGTCATGGTCATCATCAAATTCAGGGTCATTCCTCAAAAACGCAAATGTTGTGAAGAACAGCAAACGCGATTATGACAGAAAAGATAGTGTCAAGTTTAACTCTTAAGCCAAATGACAAAACGTCTTTTCTAAATACCAAACAATCTTTCAACAACCCCCCTGGTTTTCCTTTGTGCTGTATTGTACTGTCTCACCGGGTCAATCCCTGGGTTGTTGATTGGTGTCAACAAATATGGCAAGCATGGGTAACCTGGATCACCTAACATATAGCCATGAATGTCGCCAGTTTAAAACTTGCCATTTATGCTACTCTCCTGTAGTATTCTAGAGTCGTGACTGCAACCAGGCCACCTAGCGACAATGTTTGTGATTAAAGGCAAGTGATCACATATTACCTTTGTGTTGACTGATGAAAACCCTTTTCTTTTTCACAAACCTCAATAAATCTGGTCCCGACTGGGTGGAGATAGGTATATGTGTACAGCCAGTTGCACCAATAACAATTGAGAACTGCGCCATACTATGGAAACCTTCCATTACTCTCCTAGCCCTCACACCTGATGGCATTTGTATAAACCTTTGCCTTTGCTAGAGCCTTGCTTACCTTTTGAATAATCAAATAAACAGTGGTCTGGTGTACCCTATGCAAATCACCAACAGCAACTTGAAACGTTCTGGCTGCATAGAAACGTAAAGCAATAAGACACTGAAGTGGTGCTGGAACTGAACAATTCCGCAATGTTGCCGATTGCAACTGGTCTGATAAGAAATCTATCATGAAACGGTTTGTTTGTTGAAACGGAATCTAATGTCAAATTCCCTGCCATCATATACATCAAAGTTATCGTATCTGTCGCAAAAAAACACGTTCCCTACGCAGAGCACGCCTATGTGCTTTTATATTCCTCAGAACTAGATATTGTTTCTTTGCATGACTTTCAAAAGTTACAAATCCACGAATGTAATGAGATTGGATGAATGATAACGATCAAATGACAGCAAAGCTCGCGGGACTGAATTCACAATATCATGCCCAAAACATATTTTCAGACAAAATCTGTTCAACACATTTTCTATTGCAACATCATCATCATCAACGACATCAACAAACAATAAACGCAATTTAGAGAAGGATACAATCAACGACAATAACTGTAATCCTGTCAAGCGGCAACCAACATCAGTCACAATGAGAGTAAAGACATTTGGCAAAATATTGGACAAGTCAATCCAATGTTCAGC